TTCTTTATTGTTTACTACTTAATATTTTCCTTCTCTTTTTCATATTCCAATTATACAAAGTAGCAGAATATCTGGATTAAGTAACAGTATTGCCAATATTTTATTTCTTTTTAAATAAGAAAGTAACTTTTAAGATATGTCAAACCAAAATTTTGTTTGTTTTCAAGGATTAAGATGCTGATTCTACCCCCAGTTCCAGTTCCAAAGATTAAAGGAATAGATCCAGATCTCCTCAAGGTAATTAATAAATCTATCTAAATTTTGGATAGCACTAACACCTGAAGAATAGTGTCATATGTTGAATGTTTTTTGTAAGCTATAGATATCACATTTGATTTTTTTGTACCCCATCTCCTGGAGAAATTTTTTTTAAATATTACACTTCTTAAAACCATGAAAATGTATATATTTAAGAGTTTTGTACTAATTTACTTTTTGTTATTATATGTTCCTGTTACTGTTGTTCTTATCGTAACCATAATTAATCTGTGAGTGTTATTTGCTCAATCACTTAGCCATTATGAGTTTCTTTTCGTAAATCTTCATTTTTTTTCTGTTTCCTAGGAAGGAAAATTAGAGGAGGTGAACACAATTTTAGCCATTCATGATAACTATAAACCTGAATTCTACAATGATGACTCTTGGGTTGAATTTATTGAGCTAGACATCGATGACCCCGATGAAAAGGCTGAAGGATCAGACACAGACAGACTTCTAAGCAATGACTGTCAGAAATCACTTAATATCCTAGGGGCGAAGGATGATGACTCTGGACGTACCAGCTGTTATGAACCTGACATTCTAGAGACTGATTTCAATGCCAGTGACGTGTGTGATGGTACCTCAGAGGTTGCTCAGCCACAGAAATTAAAAGGGGAAGCAGATCTTGTGTGCCTTGACCAGAAGAATCAAAATAATTCACCTTACCCTGACGCTTCCCCTGCTACTCAGCAGCCTAGTGTTGTCCTAGCAGAGGAAAGCAAACCACAACCATGTCTTGTTGTTGGAACTGAGTCAACTCATCAAGCTGCCCATACTCAGCTAAGCAATCCGAGTTCACTGACAAACATTGACTTTTATGCCCAGGTGAGCGACATTACACCAGCAGGGAGTGTGGTCCTTTCTCCGGGCCAAAAGAATAAGGCAGGGATATCCCAGTGCGACATGCATCCAGAAGTGGTCTCACTCTGCCAAGCAAACTTCATCATGGACAACGCCTACTTCTGTGAGGCAGATGCCAAAAAGTGCATCGCAGTGGCTCCTCACATTGAGATGGAATCACAGGTAGAGCCAAGCTTTAACCAGGAGGACATTTACATCACCGCAGAAAGCCTTACCACTACTGCTGGGAGGTCTGCGACAGCAGAACACGCTCCAGATTCTGAGATGCCTGTCCCAGACTATACCTCCATTCATATAGTACAGTGTCCACAGGGCCTCATACTCAACGCGACTGCCTTGCCCTTGCCTAACAAAGAGTTTCCCTCATCGTGTGGCTATGTGAGCACAGACCAACTGAACAAACTCATGCCATAGCCTTTCTTTGATTTCCTAAGAGCTACGTATTTAATGGCAGAGAATTGGCTGGGGTGTGAATGCTTAAACCAAATCAATGTTTAAACCTTTTGAGGGGGGGCAGGAGGTAGGAGGGTGAGGTATGGATTCTAAATGCCTTTTCCGGAAATGTTGAAACATGATATTAAAAAGAAAAAATAAGAAGAATGCTTAAGCAGATAGATATTACTATTGTGAATTGTAAATATTTTAAATAATTGTCTCAGAGACTGTTTAGTGGCAGTGATTGTCTTGTTATTGTGGGTGTTAATTTTGTGATACTAAGCATTGAATGGCTGTGTTTTTAATGTATAGTAAATCATGCTTTTTGAAAAAGCGAAAAATCAGGTGGCTTTTGCAATTCAGGAAAATTGAATGCAAATCATAGCACAGGCTAATTTTTTTCTTTTTTAAATAATTGG